GGGACTGTTGTTTTAAGTGGGAACGGCTGTTTTAAGAATGTCTTTAGACTTTCAAGCCGTATAGTGTTCTTCGCCACCACGCTTTAACAATTCTTCTACGCTCGCATCCAGGAACAGTGGTGAACCAAATACAGGCAGCGCCATCCGTAAGACCAAATCAGCTACTATTTCATACGTTTGATTCAACTGTCTGGAACACACTGACCACAACCGCTGATTCGTGTCATCAGATGACTCTACACCTTCGAGAAACTACCGAGTTCGTGGTTCCTAAGAGCTAGTGGGCCCTGAAGACGACGACTCCATTTCAAATCGGTCTTTCATGAATGAGACATTATAAATTGCTAAAGACCGTGTATCGTCTTGTACAAGACAGATAGCAAAGGCCGCGGAACAACTGTTACCGTAGCCGCGGCCGCGCTTCTTGAAGATATAGTTGAACGCTCAAGCGAACGCTCTGCGCGCGCTTCGCGCGCAGGGCAAAGGGAGGTTAACTCCAACATGCCGGCGAAGCACGCTCCGGCCAGTTCGGTGGGTTGCCACATTCACCCTTCTACAGCTCAGGTGCTCCGTACAATGGACGGGCTCCGTATCGTCCATACTGTCGTCGTGGAGTGCGCAGAAAAACGACAAAAGAGGCATGTCGAATGCCACGTGGCATCGATTTGTTGCGGCGGCGGGTTACGGTAACATTCGTTCCGCGGCCCTCTGTTTATCCGTCCAATTCGTCTTCTCGCGCAGCTAAAACGACGTACTACTGTGTAGCATGTTCCCCATTCACCACTGGGACGGACAACACTCGCATTCAAATTGATGAATCATAATTTCTCAACTTACACGCAAACCGTCCAGACTAGAAATCAGCGAGTCATCACCGGTGATCCTCTTAATTCTGTACTTGTTAGGATTTGCTCCGATGGCTGTATAGAAAATAGTTACGCCCATTCTTCGAAGCTGCAATAGTAACATTTGACTTCAATATCTACATATGGACGAATCAAAACTTTCCAAGTTTGTGCGTTTTTATCCAACATGAATTTTCAGTTGGAAAAGGCAAAGAAGAACTAAAGAGTAGATAAGGCAACGATTGGCATGACTTTCAGCTTACACTTCGCTAGGAATTGGTGAACTCAAAACCTCCAAGAGTCAGTTTTTGTGCGAGTCATCTTTACGGATTTGTATGCCGGAACTATGACTTGAACGTGAGCAAAATAAATAAAAGCCGCTCGCCACAAAAGGAAAACCGGCGCTATCGCAATATACGGGGGCATCTAATATAGTTAACACCTGTCCACGTTTCGTTAACGTGTCAAAACGTGTACGTGTTTGAACGTGTCATAGCGGTCTGGACTCCAGACTCTGGAGTCCGACCAGGGTGAATAACGGTCGAGGATTCCTCGACCATAGCTCTCTACCATGCGAGAGTAGTGCCGAGAGTGAACATCCGCGCGGAGAGCACAGACGGCACACCCATGGCGAGTGTGAATGTCCGCGCGAGAGATCGTGTCTGACGGGCAGAGAATCCTCGACGTGCCGTTGAGGAATCCTCAAGCGATATTCACCCTGGCCAGACATAGGAGTGCATGTTTTCACTTACCGGAACAGGCATTCAGCTGCCCATGGAACTCTGAATTAATTTCTTGAAGGGTTACATATGAGTCGTGCTAGTGTCCAAGCATTCAGAGTCGCCGTGTCGTAGCGATGGTGCCCTCAAAATTTGCAGTCGAACAGAAGGAGAACTCGTGAGCTTCCGGTTTGAGAGCGAGTGCATTACCTTCACTCACACGGCGACTCCGAATGTTCGTACACACGAGCACGATTCGCATGTGACGCTTTACCTCCAACCGACACTTGCACGGCTCACAACTTTCTTGGCAGTTCATCTGGCAGGCTTTAGTTCCAAAAATTGTAAATCAGACCGGTTCAAAGTCCATTGATGTATTTATGATTTGACTCAAAATCCCATGGAAACTTGAATGCTTCCTTGGTTGTGTACTAACCATATGGCTGTTTCTGAAGGGAACAGGGCGGAGATGCACTATCGCAAGATAGAGGGCATTGTGTGGCAGCGCATCTGAAAGCGCGTGAAACGTTTCCTTGTGTCAAAGAAAGTTGCAGCTTCAGCTGGAAAAGACAATTCTTCAAATTGTGTGAGCAACTTTTTTGTCCTTCAATGCTCCTGCCCCGCCTTGAAGAATGCCCCGTAATTTTGCGACTTGGAAAGAAGAAGATGTAACAAAATCAGAAAAAAAAACAAGTACAAAAATGCGTAGAAATGTACCCGCCGGCATTGGGTAAGAAATACACGCCCTTGTGTACTCTGAGCTTCATGCACTCGCTTCAAGCACTCTGCTTATGTCTTGGCAGGTATATAATCACGACTTGACCAAGACCAGAATGCCCCGCATATTGCGGATACGCGCCTGGAACCCTTTTATGCTGGATTAATGGGCTAGAAGGTGACAGTGGAGATGTGAAGTGTAGCGCTAGAAATGAAAAGTGAGAAGATTTTGTCGACAAGCACGACAAGCGAAAATGAGCTTCCTCTCCAGTAGCAGCAAAGCGAATCAGTAGATAGACCAAAGGTCTACCGAGTAAGTTTCTCGGAGAATCACTTTGAAGTCCAGCAGGTCCAACTTGTGAAGGGTTCGTGGTGCGATGTGCGCCCAAAATCTTTCACGGATGTGTTCCCTTATAATAAGGAATGCTGGACACACGTCTTGGAGTTTTTGGTGAATTTGACGTAATATAAAGGCTGCTTCCCACTGTAACAGTTCCATCTGATACTGAAGAACATGGCCAGCCGCTGACCCCATGAAAGCTGCCACAACCCTCCTCCAGCACAGTTTAAATTCTGCAAAGTTTGTAGAGCTTCATCGCCGTCGATCTATTCAGCAAACTTTCGTAGACTATAGAGAAGAATCCGCTCTTTATTGTACGTCGCAAATCTGTAGAGAAACGAGTCGCTTTTATCACATAAAACCAGCGACAATTTGATGGACGACCCTTCAAATTGGTGATTTGTCGCGGCACGCCCCTATCGAATTTTTTAGACTTTCCAGCTTCTTCCGTATAGCTTGGCTGTACAAACCATATACGCCCAGGTTGGGCAGAACCTCCTCTATGGTCTTACGCACGAGTGCTTCAATCAGAACTTTTGGCTAATGGGTGGACAACGTCCGATATCTGACGACCACTAGTATCATACCAAGGCTCTCGCTTTCGTTACAATAACTTTTCGAACTACTGCATATGAGCACATTTATTGCGAATCTAGGCCAAGTGCATCGTTAATATTTTGAACTGTTCCCGCTACTTTCAGGTCTATTTAAAGCTAGAAAAAGAAAGTCATGCCAACTTGCTCATCGAGTATACCGCATTCAAAGCTTTGAAAAAGCTATAAGAAAATGTTTTAGACAAAGTTGAGCTAAGCAACAGATAGAGCAGGAAAGCCTCTTTGAACGTTATCCATACCGACTGCAGTTTTTCCGGATTTCAAGGAAAATAATGCGTCCAGTAGAGGAGTGTCAGAAAACTACAGTACTTTTTGAAACGCCTAGTACGTTCACCCACGCTAATCACTCTCGCCACCCGCGAGCCGTCTATGCTGTCCGTGAGTCCTCACTCTGAAACTGCTCTCGCACAGTACAGAGCCATGGTCGAGGAATTCCTCGTCCGTTATTCGCCCTAGTCACCACCTCAAGTCAGCTACAAATCCAGTGCATCTACTATGAAAATGTAAAACTGAGGAGCGGCACATTAATCACTACTGCACATATAGTGTTTAACTTGTTATACATTGCGAATAAAAGTAAAAGAAACAGAAACAGCGATAAAATTTAATCAATCCATCCTACTTTTTCTGCGATGTCGATTTCATCATCGCTCGGTTTGTTCCTTGTACATGTGGTTCTTTCACCATCAGAAATGACAATTAGGAATTTATAGGCTGTCTTCTCTTTCTAAATATTAGACAAATTACCTCCTGCTTTAACTTTGAACAATGAACTAACTTCTGTCTTCGCTTATGTAACTCAAACATTGACGGGTTCTATATATTCCACTCAAAGGCAAGCCCCGGGATAAGCCCGACTAGTAAGAAGGATAGAGCGAGGGAAATTGTGGGGCTCTCACCTATGTAGATACATAGATCAGGTCCAGTTCCTGTTCGCAAATTGCGCGCCTAGACGCTAATATTCCGAGGGCTACCATCCACGCCGTTGCAACGCTTCCCCACCCACCTCGATTGATGTGGAGATCAGCGTGCTCTCTCGAATAGCGTGCTCTCGCATGTGTTTTGCTTTGATTGCCCTGTCTCGCCGTCGTACCACATCCGACCTTACTAAAGGTCAAGGCCTTGATTTTAGCATTTTCAATGGTTTCTCTTACTTTCCTTCCCACAATCAGCTCACTCACAGCTCAGTCATCACTACGAAGCGCTCTTAGACACCAGTTTCATCCCGTGTCTCAGCACAATGTCCTTTTTCTCGGTGCTATTTTTATTTTGTGTCTTTTATTCGGCTGGTTCAGGCATGAACTTTGGAATGCTCATTGGTTTACATAAAATGGCTCAAATGAGGAACGCCAAACTTTTCTACGTAAAGTATGCCTTTTTTACTGATAGCGCGCAACCTGTACCTATCACACCCTTCGATGATGCAGTGCATTTGCGTACATCTAGAGACAACCGTAACTTGTCCATAGAAGTAATTCAGTATGCTGATTATGAAAATGACTTTCGCCATCTGACGCCAGTTGGTGTCACCTTGTCACGACCGGTGTTTTCACCAAAATCGGTGACATTTCTCGGTTGGAGTGGCGCAAGACGAGCAGAAAATATTCTACCAAATAGCGTCAGCGCCGAGAACTAATGTCATATTCGTAGTCAGGACACCAAATAAGCCTATATACGGAGGTCTACTCAAAATTTGGTAGAAACAGGTGTCGTGCCAAGGTGAAGGCCAACTGGCGCCGGATGGCGCTACCGCTGAAAATGGAGGCCATTTTTGCAATCAGGACATCAATTTATCTCTAAAAGCACTAGTTACACTAGTTTCTAAGGTGTACAAAACTACGCAGTATCGGCGCGGGCTTATCTACCAGAAATTAGGACGATTGTTCTGTACCTAAAATATAGTATGCCCGTGAGTAGTCGGTTCCCACCGTCCCCAAGGCAAAAGTACTGAGCTTCCGGCGATCTCCACCAAACTCTCATTCCCTGACAATAAATTTCTATTCAGACCTGCTTTCCAACAGGAAACCGCTAGGCCTACGTATTGATTGCGCGGCCAGTCGTAGTAGTGCAGAATTAACGACTGATTGTTAGTACTCAATCTCCCGTATGAATACTTGCTGATAAAGAACAGAGCTGTTGGGACGAAAAGCTGGTTTGTCTAGGCGAGAATCAATCTATCATTGAAGTCTTCACCATAGGCGTGGCAAGAACAGGGTCAACCCTACGTTGGGACAAGTAGGGCGGAGGAAAATTTGCCGTTTCCACCGCGCGTATATCAACCCCTCTCCCTCCTCACGCTCGACTGTGTTTTCGAGGGGAAAGAGGGGAAAAGAAATTGTGAAGAAGGGGTCGTAAGAAAGTTCTCATGAGGGAGGGGGTCGTAAAAAAAATTTCAAACAGTCCCAACGGTGGGGTTGACCCTGAGCAGGAAGCACCAGCGCCGTTGCAATGCTTTAAGGTTTCGAGTGGTAAATAGATGCCCTACGGGTGCGTGACTGTTCAATCGTGGCAGTGCTAGGTCGCCGCGCCAGCCGCCGCAGACCGCGATGACGCGGCGAATTCGCAAAGAACTCGCATCCAAACATTGAGGAATGTAAGATTAGATGAAGTTTTCAGTCATGAAACATGGAATAGGAATCACCTAACCCCTTGAAATGCAGTTTCTTCGCCCCTTGCCATTATTACAAACTTATCCTATCATGCTTATGTTAGCGCCTTCCTCACCGTTCCTCTGCGTCTTGGAACGTGATGTTCTTCTGGTTGAACCAGATTATCACTCCCTGATAGAAATTCAGGCAGCTATTAATAAAGAAGTCGAATTAAATTCAAAAGGACAACCTTTACATGGTACAACCTTTGCACTGTGAGGCTTAAATCATTGCGGAGATCTTTAGAGTGACGCTTGCTGGCTTACTGATGTCTAGCACTCTGATCTTATCAGTCACCTAGCCAACTTATGGACATGGATGGTTAAGACAAGGTCCACACAGAAATCGCCGCTCCAACTGCCGCGCGCGACGATTGCTCGCCGCGTGAGCGGCGTGACCTCATTAGCTGACGATTGAATTGACCGTCTCCCTCCAGGTCCTAATATCCGTGTAAAATTCGCTACATTGAAATGACTAAGTTTTCTAGGGCTGAATTGATAAATGAGTGTTATCAATGCATACATCTCCCAATTAATCACTTACAGCGAGAAGCTTTCTGGCTAAATTGAAAGCCTGAGCAGTTCCCTTCTTGTCTGTCGGTCTTGACGGTGGTGAAAGTTTACGACTGAAATTTGCGTCTAGTGCTATATTTAGCTGTGGAGAACGGTGAAACCCATACTAGCAAATGTAGGCGCTGGATGCGCTTAACGAAGATACGTGAAAACAAAGCAGCAGTGATACTTACCGTATTCGAGGCTGTGTGTAGCTTCCCATTTCCATAAGGACTTCCGAAGGGCAATCGATCGATACGGCTCCGATTCTTGCCTCATCCATTTCGGCGACAACATCTATCACATAGTCAATTGCCTGAAACCCGTGACTATCAATTTTCTTCAATAGCAGAGACGTTTACACTTCTGGGTTGTTTACACGGAACGAATTGGGGATGCGTGCATTGGCTCGCAAAGGAATCTCCGGTACATTCAACGCCAGCCTGCAGTCAATCGCAACTTATAATTCGAGTGACCCCTGCCATTATACCCGGAGGCTTGTTGTCTATCTCACATCACACACCCCCCCCCTCCCCACCATGCAACAACGTATCCAGCTCTTGCGGCCTTCTGATGCCTTACTTACCAGCTCGTAACCCACTTGGATAGCAGATTAGCGGCAGATTCCCACAGCTGAGAGCTGTCTAGGTACTCTCAAGATAGGTACTCGGTGACCCTCTCAGATTAACCTTGTTCTACGCTTCTCAGAATTGTGCAAAGAACAAATAACACAGTTATCTTTTTTTTTTTTTTTTTTTTTTTTAAATCGATGTTGTGTCGCCGGACGATGCCACCGGGGTTCTCTTTTCTCGAGTAGTTTGTCTTCCGCTGCCCTCATTACCACTTGTGATGCCAAAATTTTATGAAGGAGACGCGTCTGTACGAGACATGCATCCTATGTGTTTAACAAAGGAGTGTTAGGTCGTGGTCATGATCGCGATGAGTGCGGGACTTTTGGTGCGTCCGGGGTTGCACGCGGCGAATCGCCGCGGCGGGCGCGGCTTCTGCGGTGGAATCCAACACGTCAGAACGTGTGCAGATCGCGGATAGAATCCACAAGGTTCTGCGATTCGAATTACATTCCAACGCGTGGATATTCAAAGGCAGCGGCAGGAAGAGAAGAAAAGGAATAGCAAAAGGCTGTTATAGCAATCAGGGCGCTTAGGTTGCTGGCGCTTGTTGTTAAGGGGGGGGGAACCCCATGAGCGGAGAGATTCAACCAATTATTGTGTTTGGGACTAAGCCTGAGGGGAAGAGTTTCTCGTGGAGGATGTGAGCAATTTCTGTTCTCCCGAGCGTATTTCCCTTCTCATGAGCTTAGTTCTAGTGTCACCTTCCATTGGCCCTGTTTTGAAAGTTCTCCCCAAGGACAGGAGCGCCGCGATTAGCAAAGATATAGAGTTGACAATAAATAACATCTCACTAAATGACTCCATTTTTAGTGCTCCTTATTCTTTCTCTCTTTCATCTCCTTTCGCTGTAATCTTCTCACTGACACCGCTGCATTTCACCGATCTCCGCGAGTGGGAAGTTTCTTTCAAAGCAGAACCTTGTGGATTCTATCCGCGATCTGCACACGTTCTGACGTGTTGAATTCCACTGCAGGAGCCCGCGAAGACTTGCCTCGTCCGGATCGCCGCGCGATTCGCCGCGTGCAACCCCGGACGCACCAAAAGTCCGTCGCCCCAACTCCTTTCGCTCCTTAAAAGTGTATGTACATAACTCAACACATTGTACGTGTCAGTGCTGACAAGCTATTTATATAGCATACTTTTCATGGTACGTATACCATGAAAAGCTGAGTTGGGATGAAATGGTGCCCCGGTTGCGTAACCTCACGACTTCAACTTCAAAGACTCATTGATAATAATCATACAGCCGCACAAGTCTTTGTTTGAGTTTTATTCTTCTCGAGAAATTGCACGTTTGTTGTCTGCTTTTCAGAGAACGAGAGAAGGAAAGCAGTCTGTGGGTTTCAAAAAAAAACGTGGAAATCATCTCGGAGAGTAGCAAAGAGTTGTCACTCCGTCAAATTGCGCAAAGTCCAGGAAAAGCTACAAAGTCTGGCAACTTCTTCAGAGCTGCTGTAGGATATGGAACTGAAGTAAGCTCTTCGTATTTGCCTTATGAGTGAGATAAATGTTAGAAGAAAACCATTCAATCTATCAATTCGTGTTCGAAAACTTAGCCTTCCTCAAAACTTGAAACCGTCCAAAACATCCCATCTTCTCGATTTTCCCCTTCCCGAAAATAAAGAAAAAATTGGTCGCTTGTTTTGGTGAACTATTCAAAAGATCAGAGAAAATATAAAAGGATAAAGGATAAAGCATTTGCCGTTGATCAATCCCTTTTTGGGATGCGGCACGCATTCTACTTCCATTTGTACATTCGTAGTGGCGTTTGAATGCGATGTGGCCTATACAATGACTTGCGGGGGCCAGCCGATGTACAAGTCAGTGTTTTTATCCTCCCAGACAAGTCTGGTACCAATTAACCGACCCCGGAGGGATGGAAGGCTTGGTTGGCCCGGGCGACTCACGACCCAGGATTTGATCCCCGGACCGCTCGCGTGGTAAGCGTGCCACTTGCCACTACACCACTTCCGCCCCTGAAAAACCTATAGTCGTTCATATTTGCGCAGCACATACATCACCTGTCGCATCATAACATTTGTCGCAAATGCTTGCCGCGGAAAAGAAGCGAATATTCGTGTAGTCTCTTTATACAGGGGGGGCCAAAAAAAAAGAGTCACTTTGCCATGGCGCACATCATCAAATTTTTCTTCGCACAGGATGCCGATGTTAATGAAGTTTTACGGCAGAATATTCCTTAGATGTC